AACTTGACTTGCTTTTACTAACATTCTAATCAGTGGCCAAGTGCAAACATATATAGGGAGTATTCTAGTGTAATTAAGTTCTAAATATCAACCCAGGACCCTAGACGTACTATTAATCGGTGAGCTATCTATTATCTAGCAAACATGTTGTAATGTCCATTACTAAAACTAAAGTAACAAAACAAGAAACTTAACTTGATTCGAATGCAAAAGATCACCTGGGTATGTTTCCTCCTAGTCCTTAGTTAAGTCGATGTTGTTTACTCCCTAGTTGATTGATCACTTGATACTTTTACTACGAGAAGTTCTTTATTAGTTTAGAATCTTGATTAAAGCAAACTAAACCCTCTTAAATAGACTACCCGAACAAAGATTATCCTCAATCTGGATATAGAATATCAAGGCAATAAAACAAAGACTTCCTCTATTGGATTGAGATCTAGTGCAGAGAAGTCAATTGATTAACTATTCGCGTAATCAAATCACCACTACCAATTGAAGGCACTCTACTAACCTATTCAAATATTTTGTCTCCTAAGTCAAAGCAGGAATCGCAGAATGTAATCAATATTCAAACAATTGCATGAATAAAACTTCAATTGGATAGATAGTATCAAGGTTTACAAACCAAAGAGTCAATAAAATCAAACCTAGCACATAGAACTAGGGCTCTTCTACCCAATTGAGGGAGGGGATTACACCATAGAGAGAGTAGAGCAATGCTCAAAGTAGTCAAAATCCTAAAAATTACAATGATATGCTTCGGGATGTCAATCTTCACTATGAGCGACGAAATCCGAGCTCCAATGGTGGATTGAGGGCTCAAGTAAGCTCCAAGGGATGTTTCTCTATCACTTTCTCTTTCTAGAACTCTGTTTTTACAGTCAAAAGCTGGATCCCTCTAAAATATCCTGAAATTGGCACGTAACCCCACAGCTGGATAAAACACTACCATGGTCCATGCCTATGTTTCATCAAAACACGTCGTTTCATTTAAGTTCTTTCTAGGTAGAATACGAGCACCTTCAGGGAGAATCCCAGTTGGGCTCATGTTTGGGGTTTGGTTGTGTTTCTTCTTGTGATGAGCTTGTGTTTCTCCTTGGCACGCAATACACGACCAGCCATTTGGAAAACAACTGCTTTTCTTCTAAGCTAGAACACAAGCTATGCCCCTAGAAACACAATCGTGTTTCTCATCGACATTCCTTGGTTATTCCTCTGTCCCACTTTAGATCGCCAAACGACCCATGATTGACCCAAAACTTGCATCTAGTCCTCACTTTACCTATTAGGACTTGAAATATATCAAATGAAAACATCATAGCATATAATAGGCCAAGGAACACGCAAATAAAAGTAGGTACTTCATTATTTCATTGAGGATAGTACTCGATTTACCTATGTCTATTTAATGCGAGCTAAAGATAAAGCCTTTGATAAGTTTAAGTGGTATAAATCTGTTGTCGAAACTGAAAAAGGTAAGAAAATACAAATCCTTCAAGTGATGGGAGAGGATAGTATTTTTCTAATAGCTTTAATGAGTTTTGTGAGCAACATGGTTTGATACACCAAAGGAATGCTCCTTAAACCCTACAACAGAATGGAGTAGCATAAAGAAAAAATGGAGTTCTTTCGACACGGTTAATGCTAAGTTGATTAATGTCAGTGCTCCAATCAATTTGTGGGGCAAGGATTTGCTAACAGCCAGTCATGTACACAATAGAATTCCGTTTAAGAAGCTAAAGAAATCTCCCTATGATTTGTGGAAGGGAAGGAAACCGAACTCTGGTTATCTTAGGGTTTGGGGATTTCTTGTTTTCTATAGAGTCCCAGGTCCTAATAGAACTAAATTGGGTCCACGATCTTTGAAATGTGTTTTTCTTGGGTATGCTGAAAACTCGAAAGCATATAGGGTTTTAGGTATAGAATCTAATGTGGTAGTGGAATCAATGGATGATGAGTTCTTTGAGAACAAATTCTGACGTGATTATGCAAATGTAGAACCATGTCGAGTTACATCTACAGATCCCTTGTATGATTCTATTTCTATTCCCATCCTTGACATTGGTTCTAGTAGTAGAAGATCTTTAGATGACCCTGTTGTTATTGAACCAAGAAGAAGTCAAAGGCCAAGGAAAGAAAAAGAGTTTTGATCCAGAATTTATTGATCCTCAAGTTTTAGTCTTTCTTGTAGACGGAGAGAGGTTAAATAAGGTTATAAGAAAAATACCTAGTTTGTTCCATGTGCAAGATGATATGAAATCTTATCAAGAATCAATGGCTTCTAGAGAATCATCTTTCCCAAATGAGACTATTAAAAATGAGATGGACTCATTAATAATGAACAATACTTTGATTCTTGTGAATCTGCCTCAAGGATCTAAAGCTATTGAAAATAAATGTGTGTTTCGGACTAAGTGTAACATTGATAGATCAATACATACTTTCAAAGCGAGATTGGTGGCAAAAGGGTTTAGGCAAAAGGTTGTAGTAGATTGCTTTGACACCTATGCACCAGTTGAAAAAATCAGTTCTATAAGACTACTTTTGGCTCTGGCTTCTATTTACAATATGTTTGTACCATAAATCAATGTTAATACCTTATTTCTAAATGGCGAGTTAGATGAGAAAATGTACATGGAGCAACCATAAGGATTCATGTTGCCTGGAAATGAAAGAAAGGTGTGTAAGTTACTTAAGTCCTTGTTTAGTTTAAAACAAGCACCTAAACAATGGCATGAGAATTTCGATTATGTTGTCTTGGCTCATAGATTTTATCATAACTCTACTAACAAGTGTATTTACTTAAAGTTCACAAAAGAGTACATAGTCAATGCATGCATTTATGTTGATGATAAGTTAATATTAGGGACTAACATGAAGGGCATAAATTTTACAAAGGAGTATCTAACTTCTTGTTTCCTAATGAAAGATCTTGGAGATGTTGATACTACCTTGGGCATCAAAGTAAAATACTGGCCGTTTTGGTTTGTGCCAGTCACATTATGTCGAGAAGATGCTCAAAAAATTCAAGCATTTGGACATAAAAGAAGCTAACACCCCTTATGATGCTTCTTTTAAACTTTGTGCGAATGAGGGAAGGGAAGTGTCACAAGTTGAGTATTCTAGTGTTCTATGAAGTTTGTATTATGCAATGGGTTGTACTAGACCCGATATTGCATTTGTCGTATACAAACTTTCTAGATTCACTAGTAATCCTAGTGATGATCATTGGAGAGCTATAGAAAGAATTTTTGGTTATCTAAAAAGAACCAAAAATTAGGACTCTTCTATAGCAACTTCCCCATGTGTTGGAAGCATTTTTTGATACTAGTTGGATTACAAGTGTTAGTGATATAAATTTACAACATGATGGATTTTTACACTAGCTGGTGGGAATGTTTCTTAGGTTTCAAAGAAACAAACGTGCATTACGCACTCCACCATGGAAGCTAAATTCCTAGCCCTTGAGGCAGCTGAAAAAGAGGCAGAATGGTTAAGAAATATGTTATTAGGTATATAGTTGTGGCCACAAGCGATGCCAACCATTTATGTCTTTTATGATACTGAGGCTACTTTGTCTAGAGCTTATGACAAGATTTACAATGGTAAGTCTAGACATATTAGGTTAAGATATTATTACGTTAGATATTTGATTACTAGTGGAATCATTTCTACTGTGTGTGTGAGATCATGCAATAATTTGGCATATCCTCTTACCAAGGATTGCCACGAGGCATGATTTATGAGTCATCTAAGGGGATGTGATTGAGACATTTTATATAGTTAAAAGTAATGGAAATCCAACATTTTTTTAGATATTCAATAATTAAAATGTTCAATTTGATAATAATAAGTTACTCTAACTGAAGTGCTAATTTATTATACAAGTACAGTAGATGAAAGAAGGATAAGTTATAGAACTCTTATTGATGTTCGTTTGGAATGTCACCTATGTGAGCATTTAGAGTTGTGTGTGTCACTCTAACAAATGTAGAAGTCAACTTTTTTGTATGCTTATGAAACAGGATCAACACATGGCTACCTTGTTGGTGATTGTTGTTTAGTGAAGAGACGAGTACGTGTGTGGCAACTTCGGTTCTAGCTTTGAATCGTGACTCCTAGACTTAAGCCGGTGACTGATTTGCTATGAACTTTGATCAGTTGCTTACACTAGGTACATGTTCCAATAGAAAATACCTTTATGTATGCGTTACCTGTTGAAGCTGGTATTCTCAACTCTTGTTGACTAAGTGGGATATTGTCAGAGTAGTCAAGTGTAAATAACACATTGGTGGGAGAGGAAAAGCGCTTGTTTTAAGTCTACTTCTCACTTTACTTTAATGGATAAAGTGGTTAGTGAGTTTTATGAAAAAATTTTGTGCAATTTAATTTGATATATTAAATTGCATTACACACTTAGCACTTTGCACGTTTGTGCGACGCGTTCGGAATTGAAAATTTTGGCTATTTAATTAATTTATGGAATTACTTTTTTGAGTAATTGATTTTGGATAATTAATTGAATTTGAGTTTTGTGAAATGAACTAACTCTTTAGAAGGAAACTGTCGTTTACTCACAATAAAAGACATTTTCAGTCAGATTTTTATTAAAATCGCTGTTGGTATTCTTCCCGTTTCCTTCTAAAAAAAACACAAGAACAAAAGTCTGTAAAATTAATGCTCCAAACTTAGATTGAAGAGACTCTTATTAATGATTTGCTACATTCTACCAGGAATTTCATCATCCGGGATGCTCCCACTTCGGAATATGCTATTTCTTTTATAGACAGATGCTCGTTTGAGTCACTCATCAGTTTAAGTTAAAAGTTCCTACAATTTTAATTGGCTAGCTAGTTTTGCCATTTACATAAAAGAGGAAAGGAAAAAATGGGTGAAAGAAGGCGAAGAGGCCGAATGTGAAGATCCCAATCCAAGGCAGCAAATTAAGGAGGAAAAAACAAAAAGATTAGGAACAGAAAGAAGATTATTTTTTTTTGACAAAAGATAATCATATATTGATACTAAAAAAATAGATCATTACACCGCCTGCCTTAACCAGGCTACAAAATCAAAAGAACGACTCGCAATCGGGTACAAAGAAAGGGCATTTCTAGCCACCAACTGGGCTACCCTGTTACTACGCCGACCAACGAACCGAACACTAAACCCTGCATTCTCAGCCAAGTAGAGCAACACCTCTCAGAAAATAGCACCTGCCGTACTATCACTCACCGGAGCCAAAAGAAGTCTATCCACCACCACCTTCGCATCCCCCTCAAAACAAACCAAGAGACAGCCTCAGCTCTGACACCAGAGGATTGCTTCCCTGAGGGCCAACACCTCTACCAGCATTGGTTCATCAACCTCCGGAAACCCACCCCCTCGCATCGACAACCGCCCCGTCCGGACTCAGCAGCACCATCCCTCCGGCCGAATGAGACCCTGACCTCATCGCTCCATCCCACCTACAAATGAGATGATTTTGGCTACCAGGTGGCCCATCCGAGGTGACCCGCATAGGGGAAAACCCCTCAACCTCCTTTGGAATCGAATCCCACTCCCTCACTTGCTGGTGATATTGTCGAAGAAGGGCTGGTATTCCAAACTATTTTCCTTCAAAGGCTACCCAGTTTTGAGACTTCCATATCCGCCAGAGTGCCGCTACAATTGCCATGACCTGGGAAGGTTCCTAACGATGGCCAGAAGGTTCTTGAGGAAGAGAGGAAAAGTAAGCCGAGGCAAACCCTGGCCCACATGCTCTAACCCCGCTAAATCTCACAAAGCACGAGCCACACAGCAGTCGAAAAATAGATGTTCCATAGTTTCTGGCGCAGCCCAGCACATCGGGCAACGAGGATGAACATCCACCTTCCTGCCAATGAGAGCTTCCATTGTGGGGGGGAACCTATGTAGAACTTGCCATAGAAACACCTTCAACTTAGGCGGAATAGCCAAGTTCCACACCCGCTTCCAGCTTCCCTGGTCCATCCAACATACCAACGGGCGCCAACCACCAGCTTGCTGGTCTAGGCGAACAGCCAGGTGATTAGCAGATTTCAAAGAGAAAATCCCATCACTTGCCTCATGCCAGACCAACTTGTCATCAATCTCCCTTCTGGCCAGAGGAATCCCACGGATAGCACGACAGACCTCAGGAGGGAACCATTCCCCAAGCTTATCCAGTAACCAACATCCCTCAGTCGGACAGATGAACTCAGCCACCTTCAAACCCATTCCCTCAGCAAGAACCCTAGGATTAAACATGGGGGATCAGGGTGGAGCGAGGGAATCCAATTATCTGTCAAAGCCGCCACCCCTCGCCCATCCCCAATCTGCCATCTAATACCCTGGACCAACAATTGCCTCCCATGCTGGATACTCTGCCACCCCTATGAAGGTCGAGAGCGGGGAGTCGCAGAAAGGAAGTCACCACGAGGAAAATACTTCCCTTTGTACACCTGTGCTAGGAGGGACTGGGGATCATTCAGAATCCGCCAGCAAATCTTAGCAAGAAGCGCTTGATTGAAGAACTCAAATCTACGAAACCCCATTCCACCCTCATTTTTACTCTGACACATCCTTCACCAAGACATCCAACGGATGCGAGGGTGACCATCCTCCACCCCCACCAAAAACGCGCAACCAGCCTATCCAAAGTACGACAAAGAGAGAGGGGCAGCTTAAAGCAGGACATCACATGCGGCGGTAGAGCAGAAGCCACAGACTTTATTAGAGTTTCTCTAGCAGCTACGGACAATGAGCGATGAGCCCATCCCTGAAGTCGGGCTATTAACCGTTCCTCCACAAACCAAAATGTGGCTATCTTAGAGCGGGAAATGAGGAATGGTAGACCCAGATACATATCATGGACACCCACTGCCCCCACTCCTAGAACTTGGGCGAGAAACTCCTAATCAGCACCAGTGATATTCTTACTGAAGCAAACTGGTGATTTCCCCAAATTAACTCGCTGCCCACTGAGTTCCTCATACTCATTCAGAACCAAAATTAGGTTCTCGCATTGCTCGAGCGATCCTCATATGAATAAATACGAGTCGTCTGCAAAATACAAATGAGAGATACGAGGAGCTCGAGGAGCCACTTTTACACCCTCCAACTTCCCTTCCGCGATGGCCTTGCGAAGGAGAGCCGCAAACCCTTCCGTACAAAGCACAAATAGAAGCGGAGAAAGGGGGTCCCCTTGCGTCATACCTTGAGAAACTCAGAAGAAACCCGCCGGAGAACCATTCATAAGAATGGAAAATGAAGCCGAGCTAAAACACTCCCTAATCCAACCAATCCAGGTCTGGCTGAAACCCATTTTGGCTAGAATTGTAAGAAGAAAGGACCATTCGACTCTGTCATAGGACTTTTCCATGTCAACCTTTAGAGCCATGTATCCTTTCTTCCCCCGATTTTTGATTTTTAGGTAATGCATTAGCTCGTGCCCCAGCAGCACATTCTCCACTATTTCACGCACCCGGATAAACGCATTTTGGCCTTCCGACACAATATGGGGAAGGAATGGGGCCAGTCTCTCTGTCATAATTTTTGTAATCACCTTATACAAAAACTGGCATAAACTAATAGGCCGCAATTGACGAATGGTCTCCACATAATCAACCTTAGGGATCAAAGTGAGCCAAGTATGGTTGAAGCTGCGAAGGAGTTTGCCAGATTGGAAAAAGGAGCAAACAGCCTCAACCACCGAAGCGCCCACAATATCCCAGAAGGATTTAAAGAACTTCTCTGTGAACCCATCTGATCCCGGGGCCTGCTTAGAACCCATTGAAAAGACTGTTCGCCTTACCTCCTTAGGGAGGACCGGCGCAATGAGCCGAGCATTCATTTCATCAGTGACTTTTCAAGACAGCGGTAAGGCATCAACCCTGGCCCGCATATCAGGAACCTGGTTTTCTGAGGAGAAAAGGGTTTGATAAAAATCAGTGGCCAGTTCCGCCTTCCCCTTCTCCTCTGTAATCCAATCCCCAGTCTCATTCCGAAGTCTCTCCACAAAATTCCGTTTCCGTCTAGCTCGAGTGACCGTATGGAAATAGGAAGTATTCTGATCACCTCTCCTCAACCAGCGCACCCTCGATTTTTGCTGCCAATAAAGTTCATCCGCTTCCCACTAACGACTCAGATCACTTTCCAGAACCCGAACCTCATCCCAATTCACCGGAGAGAACTGCTTAATACGGTCTAACTCAGATTGGAGAGTTCTAATGTTCCGAAGTGAATTAGTCGTACCTGCTCTACTCCAATCATACAAAAGATGGCGAAGCCGCTTCAACCGGGTCCAAAGCTTAAACATAGGGGACCCCTCCATTTCCTGCTCACGCCAAACGTAACTCACCATGGCCCTAACCTCCGGGTTGTCGGCCCAACGAGCATCAAAACAAAACAGAGGGCGACAAAGTCGGGGATAGGATTTGTCAGACAACAGCAACGCCCTGTGATCAGACCCTTGTTCCGTAAAATGTTTGACAATAGTCTCAGGGAAGCGGTCAATCCAAGGTTGAGAACAAAGGACACGATCTAGCCTCTCCCGAATACAAGCCTGGCCCATTCTTTTGTTCGTCCATGTGAACAGATCACCTTGAAACCTCGGGTCATGAAGCCCCAAATCATGAATAAACGAATGAAGAGCCAACGATTGCCCCACATTCCACGGATTTACCCAATCCTTCTCCCCGGCATGAAGGGTAGAGTTAAAATCACCAATCAGCACAAAACGGCAATTGAATACCCTCAAAAATCTGGCAAAGGGTGGCGAGCTGGGAAGTTCGAATCGACTCAACACAACTAATGTAAACGCCAACCACCACATAAGAAAAATTACTTTCATTAATACAAATACAAATTGCAAAATCCGATTGAAAAAACACTGAAGCATCAACTCTGAGGGACCAAGCTACAACTAGACCACCAGATGCCTCAACTGCATAACGAAAAAACAATCAGAGACCTGAAAACCTAATCCCCGCAAACGACGGGACACGACACGCTACGGGATCAAGTTTCCGAAAAGAAAACAAGATCCTGTATATTCGACCGAACAAAACCTACAGGAGTTTGAAATGTGAGGGAGGGTCCAATCCTCTCACATTACATGCCAGAACCTTCATTTATCCAACTGGGGCCATTCTCGGCTGGCTTCCTCCACGATTTCAGCATAACCTCTTCCATCTCTTCCACGAACTACTTCTTCAGCGTCGGGTTTTCCTCCACCTCTCCCATAATATCCTCCCAAGAACACTTCCGACCTCCCACCCCGAGCATCTCAGTATTCGAGCCATACTCGTTGAGCGAGGGAGGCCCCGAAATTTCTGTACCCACCGCACCCTCACCATCAACAGTGACACCCACCTCCTTCCCAATCTCGAATGCTTGAACCACCTGTCCAACCCGGCCTGTCTCTACTGGTTTTCAACCCGAGACCAACGAGTGGGGAACCCGCGCCCGGATTTCAAACTGGCCAACAGCTCCATCAGACAAAGTGGCATCAGAATCTTCTAACCCAGAACCCGTACTTTTATACGGCGACTCCCACTCCTCCGATTCCTCCTCCACCATCACCATCTTCCCTTTGCGCGCCCGAGTTGCCTGTTGCACAGCTAACACCTCGGTCGCCGTCTCCACACCCGCCGGGCTGGCAACCAGCTTCCGAGGGCGCCCCTAGTCCCTCACAAAAGGGGCAGCCGAGAGGATCACTGCTTCATCCACGAACCGGGAGGAGTCCCCAGCCCCTTTCCCCTTCCCCTCCAATTTTCCATGCCGAGCAACAGGGACTATCGTGCGTCATCCTCATACTCCTCCAGCAGAAGTTGCCTACGACGAGCCGCTTGCTGCACCTCGGCCGGGGACGAGGGTTGCACCTTCCTCTTTCCGCTCCTGACAGCCTTTTTTCCCGGTAGCCGGCCCCCCTCCTTCCCTCGGTCAGCCTCCAGCAACTGGTCCGCCGGGAGCATAGCTAATTGCTTCTCCCCCGACGTGGCACTGCGCTTCCCAAGACGTCATCGCGGCTTATCCTGACCGACCTTGTTGACCTCTGCCTCCACGGTAGCAGCAACTCGACTAAACCGTGGCGTATGCACCGGTTTAGGAATAGCAAAGCCCTTCGGGCTAGCTCGACGCCGTACTAGAGCCTCACTCTTCTTCGAAGGACCTCTCCCTACCCTTGCCGAAATCTCCATTTGGGCCTGCTCCTGCCCAGCAGTAATTCCCGACTCTGCCTCTTGCACCATCCTCCTTGAGGGTCCTCCCTCCTGTCTAATCGGCCCACGAAGAGCTTGGCGACGAGGAGTCCCCTCACTTTCATTCGACAGGCGGCGAATGTTCCTGTTTACCCACACCGTAGGAGGGTTCTCTTCATCCGCTGCGTACACCTTCACTCCCCGCCTACGAGTAGACATGTGGATGCCGAACTTCTCTTTCCGAGTAGGAGGATCAAAGGCACACTCACGTTGAAAATGGCCGATCCTCCCACACCGAAAACAAAAGCTCGGGAGGTGCTCGTATTTGAGCGAAACCCAAAAACAGCCTATCTCCTCGTTAGCCGCCATGACCTGGGATCGGAGTGGCTTAGAAAAGTCGATCAAGGCTCGAATCTTGACAAACCCTGTGCCGATTCTTGACAGGCATAAACTCCAGATTCCAGTACCTTCCCAATTGTATCATTGGCGACTTTCCAACCAAATTGTTGCATGCAACAATCCTCCTTGATGTCCCATAGTTGAACATGAAACGGGGCCACCACCAGCTCATCGAACACTTGTTTTGTTATCACAGGCACCCAAGCTCGAACATGAAAGAGCCGATCATTGATCACCCACGGTGAGCGCTTAATGACCCTGTTCTTGGATGCTTCGTTAGGGAGCACAACTTCGAACAAGCCGAAGCGTGCCTCCATAACTTGGAGTCGACCCTTCCCTTGCCACGGCGTATCAAGGGCCTCGCGCAGCTCCCTCAGCGTGAACCGGTTAGCCGAGAAAAGCCTCCCAGCACCGATCGCGCACTCTGATACTTGGTCGAGTGGACTTCCTCTAACAAAAACTAGACCACCTGGTCATCGGTCACGTGCGACATGGTGAATTTTGGCAAGGAAACCTCCTGTCGAGAAGCACTAGGTAAGGCTGTGCTCACGGAAGCAGCTCCCACGTTGCTGGCTTTTAATTTTTGATGGGAGGAGGAAGTCGGTTTAGTGGCTTTATATAGCGGAGCCGGAGACCCCCTCCCATGCAAGGACTCCACGTAAACCCAGCAGTTGAAAGAGTTACACTAGCGGTAGGACTCGCAGATCGCCATCCCAATAAACCGCTCCCCGTAATCCTTGGGATTTTCCCAAATATGCACTGGCCTGCCAGCTCATGGCTGTTACCGGGCCGCTGGCCACGCAGCAAAAATTTCAGCCAAGCAAAATCGAAATCCTTCCACCAATCGACCGCCGACGATAGTATTGAGGAGCACCTCCCCTCCACCATCGTACCTGCACTCAACGCGCAGTCCCCCGCAAGACTACAGTCCGCCGTCGGGGGAATCTCGGCCTCGAGGTCCAGGGGGCAGCATCATCTCCAACGATGTCGACTGGCTTTTGATCCTTTTTTCAAACAATCACCAACACTCGTCTCCATGGACCCCTGTCATTCCAAAGGAACTTGGTAAATATACGAAAAATCTTCCTCTTCAATATCGGTCGATGACGGTAGGGAGAATCGCCACCCACCTTTCACATCCTTACGCGGACGGGCGGGGATGGGAGCACGAGAGCCGGCTCACCATTTTCCCACTTTCGTTTCCGTTTACGCATCAACGATGCACCAGAATTAATTATACTCTTTGCACGGCTTTGCCGGTTCCCATGTAGAACCAAAAGGCCCAAAGCTCCGACGCGACCCTGATTATCCGAATCGTCAATCGGACTCCGGTCATTGCCGTTCGTCCTCGTGATTTTGCTCGTACTATCCCATCCTTGATTAGCTATGCTGGCGGCTAGGAAGCCAGTGAAGATGGAGCCGATGAACCGACCAACGAGCTTGCAGACCCGGAAGAGAGAGGACAGAGCGCCTCTCATTGTTTTTTTTTTTTCTGATGCTCATCTAATAATACACAAATCTAATCGAACAGAAAGAAGATTAAACTAGGGAACAAAAAAGAAAAGGTTGGAGAGACGAGCATCCCCCGTCACTTTAATTCATTACAAAACTGTGCAACTATATCTATCCTGGCTCGTAAACACTAAACTGTTTTGTTGTGCTTTCCTTTTAATTATTGTGTGAACATGTCAAAACTTTGGATTCCATTGCCATCAATTATTTAGAATGAGTGAAAGAGAGAGAGAGAGATAAAGAGGTGACAAATTTATAAAAGAAGAACGATCTCCACCGGACGAGATGATGGATTATGATCACTAATCCCAAATGATAATTACAACAAGGTAGGAAACCATAAAGAAATAAACGGCTAATATATTGCATCATTCATCATGATGGCCAAACAATAAAAATCTATATTTTGAATGTCAAAAGTGGCTTTTCCCCCCAACCCTTTTAGTAGTGCATGCCTATGGTTAAGTTTTATTCATTATTATTCTATTACTTTTACTTATTTCATGAAATTCAATAGTAGTTATTTATCAATATTATAGTATATTTAGTACTAGGCATGTACCGAAGTTTGGGTACAAAGTATACTTATTCGTAAAATGACTAGCTAGAACTTCATGTTAAGTATCCTATAATTATCGTCCTCACAAAAAATAGCGAGAAAATATAAAACAGGCTAACTAAAAATGTGACATTTGATGAAATAAATATTAGATTCACAGCCATGGTTTGACGTAAAGTAAACCAAACACACTGTAGACCAACGGACTTATCATCCAATTATGTCAAGATACTAGTTAGACAGAGGAGCACTTCTACTATGCTATATAGTATTGGTACTTTAATGTACAACTTAAAGTTGTACCATAACATTAAATGTATAAGTTTAGGTTGTACCATAAAGCAATTTGTATCATTATGTTATGGTACAACTTTACAACTTGAAGTTGTACCATCACATAAAAGTACAAGTTCAAGTTGTACCATAAAAGAATTTGCACAAAAAGTATAGGTACAATCTGAAGTTGTACCATAACGTAAATGTACAATTTTAAGTTGTACCATAAAGGCAAAATCCTATAGCACCAATACTATATAGCATTGTAAAATTTCTCTAGACAGAGTAAAACAAAAGGCTACATTTTATGGGTAGAATATCTTATGTAGTTTATTAATGCCTAATTGATCAAATACTTTTCAAGTTGGGATTGTTATAGATACTTAGAGTTTATGGGTGAATATCTTATGTAACTAATTTATTCCAACTTTGCTCCCATTTGTAATGGAAATATATCGTCAAGATAAATTATTTCTATATAGTATATATCTCTATGGCTGTATTGTTCTTTTATTTCTTAATAATTAAGATTGAAATTAATAAGTTATAATATTTGGTCTAGGAAGGTCAGACAAAAGCAATGAGCTCCATCTGAATCATCGACGGTTATGCCCTTTCTCTTTGTCTCGTAACCATGTATATACATGAACAATTTCATATAGGCTGCACATTTATTCATTTAATCTACCAATAAATGTAGAATAAATAATGTTGGAGCAAATTAGACAGAAAATCTTAGATAAATACTGGCAGTCTGCTGGCACAGCTATGATTAACGAATAATAATAAGATGATTAATTATTATTTGAAATTTTGTGTGTTGGAGTAATTAAATTGAACCAATACCCATTTTCTTCGATGGAAGTAAGAGCTTGCTATCATCTCGACCCTAAGAAGAGGTTCAGTTCCAAAACTGCATTAATTAAGAATTCAGATCATGGAGAAAGCAGCTTAATTTATACGGATCGTTGCATGAATTATGTTCATCTTTTTGCCAGAATTCTGCTCGTCGATCACAATCCCCCCAAAAAGTAAAACAAAAACAAGAAATGGTCTCTCGCATATTTTCGTCAAATAAAATTCTTTTGAATAAATAAATCAGAAACCTCCGTATAACATAGTAGCCTGCCGCTTCTTGCCTTTGGTCGTTCTCCTCCTCCTGCTGCTGCCACCAGCGGCATAGGGGGAGCGGTTGACGTTGCCGTCGTCGAGAATGAGAGGGGCGTCGTTCCCGTCTTCGGCGTCGTCGACGGTGGCGATCCGGATGCAGGAGCAGGTGTCCAGGGAAGCGAAGAAGGCGGCGGCGACGCCGTTGACGAGCCACATGGCGACGCCGTCGAGCTTGCTGCAAGAGGCGAGGGTGCGGGCTGCTCTGGTGGTGGAGTTGGAGCGGAAGTTGAAGAAGCCGACGCCGCAGGAGTTGTTGTTAATGTTGGCGGAGGAGGAGGTTGTCATCGCTGCCATTTGGGGAGATCCCGATTGAGCTGAGAGAGACGGGGGAAATCAACAGAAGTGTCAGGGAGGGAGAGAGAAGGAGGGTGTTTTGTTTTGTGGGGTTTTCTTTTTATGGGATTTTTATATAAGGGAAAAAGAGGGTGGTGGTGGGTGGGTTGTAACTTGTACTCACTGGTTTGTCGATCGGTAGTAGTAGTGAGTATGAAGGTAACGGGTTGTACTCACTCCCTTCCTTCTTTCCGCCCTTTTCCTTTTCACGGTAGATTCAACTACTTATTCTCTGTATTAGACGAATCAACTTTTCTAACAAAGAAAGAAAAATCAACTTTGCCGCAGCCGACGCAAGCCCAGTTGGCCGGCCCAATGGACCAGCTACATCCAAATGTATCCTAAGTCCTAACTAGTAACTAAGGCTGGGAATTCGGTCCGGTTTTCCGGTCAAACCAAAAACCGGCCAATTAAACCGTTCAAGTTGTGACCGGAAACGGATAGCCTTAACCTAATCCAATTTACAGTTTTAAGTTCGTATGGTCGGTCATGATCCGATTAAAACCGGATTGTAAAAAGTAAAACCTATTCTAACCAGCCCAACCTATCCCCACGCCAAGCCCACTCCAAGTCCCCCTCAAGGTCAACATTCCGTCATTTAAAGGCACTACCAATCCCGAGTCCTATCTTGATTGGAAATGAAAGATGGAGATGATCCTTGACTACAACAACTACTCCAAGAGAAAGAAGGTTTAAGCGGCAACACTCGGGATCTCGAATTATGCTATCATATGGTGGGATCAAATCTGTACGAGAAGGAGGAAGAACAGGCAGGCTCCTATTGAGAAGTGGGCAGAGATGAGGAGCATCATGCGAGATAGATTCGTCCCTAGCTATCATCGTTGTGATATGCATCAAGCCCTACAACTTCTACGACAATGCACCAAGAGCGTAGAAGATTATTATAAAGAGATGGACATCCTAATGATTAGAGGGGATCTAGAGTAGGACCTACATGGCCTTAATCGATAAATCAAGAATGTGGTGGAGATTCATCCCTATGCGGATTTATATGATTTGGTACTCTAGGCCAAAGTGGAAAACAACAACGTAGCAACGTTGGGAGGAGATTCGTGCAACCTTCAAGTGAACCAAGGTCAGGAGTGCCTTCGATTTCATACTCTAGGCCAGCCATAACGAAGCCAGAAGAACCAAAATCGTCAACCAAGGTTGAAGCACCAAAAGACAAACCCGCAGGCTCTAGTGGAAGCATTCAATGCTTCAAATGTCATGGAAGAGGACATATGGCCAACCAAAGCCCTAATCAAAGAGCTCTAATCATGTTAGAGAATGGTGAGTATGTTTCTGATTCTGAAGAAGAGTAGCACGCAAAGGAGACATCAGATTCAAAGGTCGATAAATCAATCGAGATGGAAGCACCTCTCAGAAGTTTACTTGTTACAAGGAAAATCTTAAGCGTGCAACCCAAGGAAGACCTCGAGCAAAGAGAGAACTTATTACAGACAAGGTGTGTGATGGATGGAAAGTTGCCCTCCTTGGTGATTGATGGCAAAAGTTGCACAAACGCCATAAGTACCATTGTTGTTAAGAAGTTGGGATTAAGCATGAGGAACATCCCAAACCCTACAAGCTCCAATGGGTCAACGAGGATGGATCGATCAAGGTCGCGAGGCAAACATTTATGAAGTTTGAGATTGGAGGCTATAAGGACGAGGTCTTATGTGATGTGGTTCCTATGCAAGCTACACATATCATAATTGGAAGACCATGGCAATTCAATTGAAGTGCATAACATGATAGAGTCTCCAACAAATATCGATTGATGCATAAAGGGAAGAAGGTCGTGTTGAAGCCATTGTCGTCCAAGGAAATCTATGAAGATCAAATAAAATTGCAACGAAATAGGGAGCAAGACAAGGAGGCTAGCACTACGAGTCATAAACAAGATGGGACTAGTGTCGTGGAGTCCAAGGCATTGATGTTAGCAAGAAGTGGAGACGTGAAGCATGTGATAAATGATCTTGAATCCATGAACATGATCATATTCAAGGGTGTGGTACTCAATCAAGAGCTAATTCAAGACATACCACCTAGGGCAAGAGTGGGATTAGAGAAATTTTATGATGTCTTTCCCGAGGAAGCTTCAAAAGGTCTACCTCCAGTCGTAGGATAGAGCATCAAATCGACTTTGTTCCTGCGGCTACCATTCTGAACAAGGAAGCCTATAGGACGAATCTAAAGGAGACGAAGGAGTTGCAGAGGCATATTGATGAGCTTATGGAGAAAGGACATGTTCAAGAGAGAATGACTCCCTGCGCAGTTCCTATCATGCTCGTGCCAAAGAAGGACTATACGTGGAGAATGTGTGTTGATTGTCCAACAGTCAACCAAATCACCATTAAGTATCTTCATCCTATACCACGATTGGAGGATATGCTTGATGAACTACATGATTCTAGCATATTTTTGAAGATTGATTCGAGGTCATGCTATCACCATATTCAAATGAAGGAAGGAGATGAATAGAAAACTGATTTTGAGATGAAGCAGGCCTTGCACAAATGGATGGTGATGCCCTTTGGTCTTACAAATGCGCAAAATACATTCATGAGGTTGATGAACCACATGTTGAGAGCTTTTATTGGGAAGTTCGTGGTAGTCTACTACGATGATATTCTGATTTATTTGAAAGGCATGGAGGAACATCTTGGGCATTTGTGAGAAGTATTGAAAACCTTGAGGAAGGAGCATCTCTATGCCAACCTTAAGAAGTGCGTGTTCTGTACCTCGAGCTGGTGTTTTTGGGATTTGTAGTAAGTGTGCATGGTGTCAAGGTCGATGATGAGAAAGTTAAGGCGATTCAAGCATGGCCTACCCCTACCAACGTGAATGAAGTGAGGAGTTTTCATGGGTTGGCAGGCTTCTAACGACGATTTGTGCCCAATTTCAGCACCATTACTGCCCCATTGACTTCAATTATCAAGAAGAATATGGCATTTTATTGGGGAGAAGAGCAAGAGTAGGCATTTGAGCTAGTACAAATTATCCCATGCTCCTGTTTTGATGCAACCTGATTTCAACAAGACGTTCGAGGTGGAGTGTGATGCATTGATTGGAAATTGGAGCCGTGTTGATGCAAAAGAAGAAGCCTATCGCCTACTTTAGTGAGAAGTTGAGTGGAGCTATGTTTAATTATCCTACTTATGATAAAGAGCTCTATGCATTGGTTTGAGCCCTAGAGACATGGCAGCAATACTTGTGGCCAAAATAATTCATGATTTATACTGATCATGAATCTCTTAATTACTTGAAGGCCCAACACAAGTTTAACAAGAGTCATGTTCGTTGGGTGGAGTTCATTGAGTCGTTTCCCTATGTGATCAAGTACAAACAAGGCAAGGAGAACGTGGTTGCTTATGCATTATCTAGAAGATACACGTTGATCACAACTATGGATGCTAAGTACCTTGGATTCGAAAAAATCAAGGATGTATATGAAGGGGATTTCAACTTTAGAGAGATTTACAAGGCTTGTGAGAAGCATTGACAAGGAAAGTTCTTCAGGAGTGATGGTTGTCTTTTTTGAGGTAATCAATTGTGCATACCTAGAATATCACCTCGAGAGCTTTTGTTAAGGTAAGCTCATGGAGGTCAATTCAAATTTGAGGTCAAATCCTTTTCAAGAGGGAGTGACTGATGAGATCATCAAAACCAAGTCCATCACGTCACAAGAAAGTCCAATTACATGATTACAAGCCAAGAGCTTAAGGGAAGAGTTTGTAGGTTATTTGGATTGTTACTTTAAGCAAATGGACATTGATCAACATCGTGTCAAGTCCATTACATTGCTACAATTCGTGGACCAGAGTGAAGGAAGAATGGGCTTGGAAGGATGAGAAGAGAATTCGGCCAAATAAGAGAAGAGAAGCCCTATGTGTCAAAAGAATCAAGGCGTGAAAAGAACCAAGGTGTAAACACAAGCGCATGGACGGACTTGAAGGCTAGATTCTAGGAAGGTTTTTGAATTAGTCTTTACTTATTTGTTAAGTACTTTTGTTTCCTCTTCGGTGTAGGATTAGGTCATTTGTTTGCTTTCTTTTGATGCTTTGGATTATGTTAGAGAGTCATAAATAGGGGGCGAATTATAAACTTCAAGTTTTCAAGTTCAACTACGAACAAGAATTTGTTCAAGCTTCTGACGAGAATCTCCTAGAGTTTCACGTGTCTCTTATCAACTAGAGAATGTGTCTAGTTGTGGAGAGCTTCTACCAAATAGTGATTGGTCTCATTCATAAGTTGATGATTGTTTGATTGGTTCCCATACGAATTGGTCCTTCATATGAGTGGAATCCGTTCGATTGTGTTCCATAATCAATATTTTATTTCGAGTTGTGCACGTTTGAAGCTTCAAAACTTCTTTAAAAAGAAGGAAGGTTGCGTACTTTGGTCACATTACAGGATGAGGTGTTGCATAGGAAATCTCTCCTTAGAGTTCTTTTGAATAATAATATTGATCTTGGAAACATATGAGATGCTTGGTCTTTCTTAGATTTATTCTTACCAAATCTCGTGGAAAATGACATATCTAATAGGAAATGATATTAGGATCCTATAGTGTCTTCTTTGAGGAAGTCAAAGTAGTTTGGTTGATTGAAAATCGATCGTGAGGTATGTCATGTCCAGTCTAATCCACCCATGAAGTCAGGTATGAGGATCAACCTTTGATTTAGTCTTCGTATTACGTACACAATCACAAATAAACAAACGAAAGAACAAAAAAAAAGATAAAGAATCAAATTATATATATGTCAAAATCGAAGATTACATAGTGAAGAACCTATAGGGTTTGCCTACCTATGCAACTGAGGGTACTATAGCTAGATGACTATGGGGAAGAGTTCCTGGGGGTACATCATCTTGGACAAGGTCCAACAGGGCCTCACCTCCTCTTTATGGATATCTAACTGGTGCCTAGTGGGGCAGCGTGCTAGTAAAAGGTGGTGTACAAAAGCTCTAGCTGAGTCTCCTATTTACTAGTTACAGAAGGAGGATTCTAGTAATTTTACTCCAAAATTCGGCCACAACCTTCCTTGTATAATTAGAACTCAGATTCGTTCAACTTGTGGATGAAGTAACTTCATAAGAAAAGCTCCTACAAGCTTAGGGCATGAACGGCGTCCCCGTAGTGGTTGGACCCACTTCTCAGTTTTCTTCTCCAAATCAGGCCACTATTTGTGGAAACTTCCTCTTGTGCTAATGGGCCTGCTCTTGAAATTTCAGCTCATTTCGACTTCGTTTGACCCGTATGCTTTTCAAAATACTATCACTCGTTCCATAACTTGAACTCCTGGTGTCATAATTCATCTCCGTTTGAACCCATGAGCTTGTATTCTTGAATTCCTTCTGATCCATTTGGTCCCTTGGTGATCCATATTCATTTCGAGTGCATTATATCATTGAAAAGCACAAAACAACACCAAATGGTATCAAATCATACAAAAACTCACTCAATGTTTGTCGTAAGCTCAGTGTCCAAATAGTTATCAATTTTATATGAAATATCTAGGGCTGGTAATCGGTCGGTTACCAGTTAACCGGTAACCTACTAACCGGTTAAAGATATACCAGATTAGGGAAAACCACTGGCGACTACCGGTACAAAAAATGGTCGGTTTACCGTTTACCGAATAGCCGGTTACCGGTTACGAACCCGGTACCCCGAGCAATGATGATTTTTTCTCGGCGGCGAGTGATCAGTATCATGTCCCGGCCGCGACTCCAAAACTGAAATCGAGAGAGAAAAGTGATTTGGCCTAGAGATGAAGAGAGCGTCGCCGCGCAAGGGAGTTGCATGGCGCCAGATCTGGATTCGAGAGGCAGAGCGAGTCGCCGGTGATGTATCCGGATTTGGAATCGAGAGGGACTAAGCACCGCCGCGAGAGGGAGATAGCATGTCCCCGGATCTAGCCTCGAGAGGAAGAGAGAGCCGCCGCGCGAGGAGTTTGCATGACACACGATCTGGAATCGAGAGGCAGATCGAGAGCGACTCGTCGTATTTTCCCAACAAGATCTGGAATCGGGCTCAGGGTTCTCCACAACAGCGGCGACGAAGGCGGCAGAGGAATGGAGAAAGGCGATGGCTAGGTGAGCACCGGCGAACCGACGAAGAACACCGAGCTCTTTCAACAGATATATCCAGATCTGGGGACGTATCGGAGACCCTTTGAAGGTGACGAATCGGCGAAGGCGTGGTCCAGGTCAACGAATCGTGAAACAGAAGAAGAGGGGTTTCATCTATTTATGGGTTTGAAGAGAATTGTTTCTCGATGGAGATGGAGAGAGGAGAGGAGGGTGTGTATGGGTTTAGAGGGGATTTTTTCTCGATGGAGATGGAGAAAGGACAGAATAGGGGAGAGGACAGAAGCCATTAAACTGATGGAAAAGGTGGTTTTTGATTATATATCGGTATATGCGGTATACCGATTAACCACCGGTTATTAACCGGGTCTGGGTCGGTATACCGTTAGCTATGTTTCCCCCGCCGAATATCGAAACCGCCCGGTAAACGGTTTACCGATAATCGCTGGTTACCGGTATGGTTACAGGTTAAACCGTTAAGCGGATGACCGTTTATCAGCCCTAGAAATATCATTAAACCCACTAAATATGAATTGATATAAGGGAAAATTGTATCAAATTCGGAAGTGATAAACACTATAAATAGAGTGCCATTAGTATCCTTTAGTGCGCGTGCTGGGTGGGGCATCCTTGCGATTGCTCTCTACATGGGTGTGGCGACTCTTATCCCCCTAGAGAATTTCTGCACTCGTGCAGGGTATCACATATATCAGCGTCAGGGAGTTCCACGTGCCTTCTAATATCGGCAACCTAGCCACCGTTTTCAAGGTCATTTACGATGCTTGGGACGCCATTTTTGTCAGGATAGGATGAAAAATATTACTACCTTCTCATGAGTACCTTCAATTCCCCTTCTCTTGTGGTGGATGATTCGTGGTCATAGCAGGTATAGAAGGAGGTACTTACAGAATGGTGATCCCTACCCATATGAAGCATCACTTACTCAAGGATATTATTGATCTTTGTCCCAATGGAGTTGCACAAATCACACTCGGACAACCAATATCTCAATATGCTTTGAAAAATGCACCTGTGAATCCATCAGAACCAGAAGCATTACTAGTTTTATTCATTGAGAAACTCGTATCCTTAATTTCTGTTGGACTCACTAATTAGAGAAGTTCCTGATTCATTTCAGATGATATAAGCCGCTGGAAAGGAAGAGATTCAATCATATTAGACATTTGAGCCTCATCAATTGCATAGATCATCCGAGAGGAGAAAAAGATTTGAATAATAGTGAATAGCAGTGTGGTGATTACCCTCTTATGAGATCAACCAATTACCATCAAAAGAGTACAATCAAACAATCCGGTTGCATCTGCATCTAGTGCGCGTGACCAAATGAAAATAAAGGTGTTTTGATCTCCTTCTTCCAGCCATCATTCCCTAAACTTCTTCCATCAAAACACTTATTCTGACGCCCAAGCACGAGATAACTCCGTGTCAAGACGACTGAGTTCCAATCAAACAACTTTATAAGACCTTAACATTGTCGTCGCTTGACAAAATTGGCCAATTCGTTAAGCGGAATTCATTGTCCCCTTCTTAGCCCAAAGGAATTGCCCAATGGCGAACTTCTTTCATCCAAGTCCACAATTGAAAACTAGGTGAGCCTCCGACTCGTTATGCCCAGGTTTTTTATAGCAGTTGTCAAGCTTTAGTATTCTCTCTTCACCAAGAGTCAAACCTTTACAGAGGACGACTACAGGGCAGGTCATTAGTGAGACGAAAGAGAATCGATCTGTGATCCAATCCATGATCGGAAAGATGATGGAGAGAGCTATTACGCCATTTAGCAAGCCACCAATAGGAGGCAAGAGCTCAGTCGATATAGTCGAAATCCCATTTTTTATATTAAAATCTTACGAGTTTACTATCTTAATTATGGGTTCCGATCATGATTTTTATATATAAAAAAAATTGAACCTTAAAATCTCATAAAATCCATATGTAAAACTATAAAATTCTTAAAATCTATGATTCTACGATTTCAAGGTTTATGTCAATTGGAGCATAATCGGTTGGTCTGGTTGAATTAGTTGGGGAAATTGTTCACGTATACTATTTTCGTGCAACACAAGCAAACACATAAGATTAAGAAAACATGCAAAGACACATGCAAGCGTCCTAGCCGATAGAATTCACTATCTCTCCTTAAAGAATCTTATTCCCCTCTAGTACCCAAGGTTATGGAATGATTCCTCCCAGGATAGAAAGGACGTAGCTTTTCCGGTGTAGCGGTACCTCAAACCCCGGAACCTATCGAATGCAGCGAACCGGCGAGAACCACACTTGACTCTATTTTCTCTTTGAAAAAAGAATGCAAAAAACTAGTTTTGGATTTTGGCAGAGTTTTGATACAAAAAAAAACCATATCTTAAAAACCAAAGGGGGTTAGGTGCTATTTATAGAAAATGAAGGGGTGCGTTTGAAGGGAGGCGACTCTTCATATGGGTGGTTACACCCCAACCAACACATTGGTTCACGTTTGAAATAATGAACCATTGCATCGGTTCGGCCCATGGTAGTTGGACCGGTTTGGTTATTCCAACCGCCACATTGGTTCGGTTCGATTTGGTTCAACTCGGTTTGGTTTGGTCCGTTTGGTACACAAACCAATTTAACCGATTAACCACATATTACATCAAATCGATCGAATTCGTGGCCGTGCCTTCCCACATCTTACCAACATGGTACTTCAAGACACTCTCTTGAAACTTTCCCCTTTTATTTCCATTCACACCACTAAAAATCCCAACAATCCCCCACATGAATGGAGAATGTTGTACTTTGAAAAACTATGCAAAAATCGTGTGATTCTCGACTAAGAATTAATTGCATCGGAATAGGTAGGTTTCCCTTTGAACCTTCCTTAGTGAACATATATCGAGTATACTCACCAATCGGTAGATGTGATATCTTTGAACCGTCGGTTTTGCTTGTATACTAAGACAACATATGTCACACAACTAACTCTTATCCGTTCACTGGTTCTCATTGTTGTGTTCGTTTTAGCCATGAACACCGCCTGGTCTCATGAGTGCTTAGAGAACTGGCCTTCTTTTATTCTCCTTGAAGCGGCTCCACTTCACACTCACATTGGTGATTTCTAAACATGTATTCCGAAAAAACACCATTTGATCACATCCTGTGTCAAACTTAGAAGTCATTAAAAACCTTCCATCTTTAGGTTTACCCTTATAGTTGGACATTGTCTCATCATGAGAATGGACTTTGAATAATTTGACAATGTCGGACCATCATTCAAAACTTGGTTTTCTCCTTGAACCTAGAGGTTGGGTCTGCCAATCCTTCTTAGGTAGAGTTACCGCCATGATGATTTGTCCTAGGCCACGAGTCCATTCCCTTCGATGCTTAAATTAATTTCTAGATGGGCCCCACGTTTGTTATCACTTGATCTAAACTGATCATCTCCAATAACTTCGCTAGAAATTAACCAATCAATAATGTTATGTTTCTACGACGAGGTTTTCATATAACACTTCTAGCCCTTGCAATAACCATTTTGTGCACAAATGGGTTTTATTAACGCCAGTCTTTGCGGGCCAAACTACTCAACTTCACCGGTCTTAGAGTTTAACTTGGCCGTTTTCCAAGATACTGCTCCTCGTTAACCATAAATGCCTATCCATTAATGGACTATGGCTTTTGGTTCACCCAGTGAGTTCCTTTGGGTAAAATTCACTAAAGACTCGTCTCTTTTCGATTCACTACACATCATGTGTGTTTGCCTTGATTTTATTGCCTTGCAATAATCAAAACACATGCCAACGGTGTTGAAGTCTCTCTACTTCATTAACCTTAGTACTTGAGTTTCACAAGTATCTCTTCAAATGTAGTGACATCTATGACTTAACTTAGAGTTTACGTAAAACTCCTAAGTATTCACATCACTTCACTTTGGAATCACCCAAGCGACATTCCACATCGGTGCGTTCAATGGGTTCTGAGGTTTGAGGTACCGCTACGCCGGAAAAGGTACGTCCTTTCTATCCTGGGAGGAATCATTCCATAACCTTGGGTACTTGAAGGGAATAAGATTCTTTAAGAAAAAAGTTGCATGAAAGAGTATACCTCCAATATGGGGGATAAATTGGGGAGCAGTGATTTGGAATCACCCTAGCGACATTCCACATCACTGCTCCCCATTTTATCCCCCACATTTCAACTATTTCGCCTTAGTTGTTGAAACTAACGTTTCCGGTTTGGGGAATGTTGTTCATATACATTCAAGTATATGGTCAAAATCATCTCTTTGGGAAGAGTGGATCAACATCAATAAATATTCTAGCTCTCTGACATAACGTCAATATATGCTAGAGTTTACTCATAAGTTATACCCTTGGACTAGGTTAACTCCACAAGGTTTAAGGACTCTCACTCTCTCATTGGACACCTTCATACTTTAAAGTATGACTTCGTTTACCTTTCCACTTTTTTCTTCTGGATAGGTTTGCATCCCATTGTAGGGTCTTGAGATAGTAGCCGAAACAATGGGCTCTTCTCCCCCACAATTCTACCCTTTGCCAAACATCATGGAATAATCCCATTTATTTTCCATGGTTTTACTTATTGAACTTGCCAACCACTATGTGTAACTAATTGTTTACCAATGGTATGATCTCACTCGATTAGCATACCACAAACAATGCAGATTTTATTAGAAATATCATCTAATTACTTACCAATGGTATTGATCAAGGCAACTTGAGACGTCATAAGTAATTCAGATGCATTCCAGTAATGAAAATCCCATCTAATTACTTACCAATGACATCTCATTTGTGTAACATGATATACCACAAGTAATTCAAACGAATTTCTTATCCAATTGTCTAATTACTTTACAATGGTATAAACTTCATAAATATACCATAAGTAATCCAGACTTTAAGTTCAATAAGATCATCTCAATTGAGCTCTCATGCCAAATTGTTTTCCAATGATATATATCTATATATACCATAAACAGTTCTGGCAACTAGCTCCACGTTGATAATCATAGTCAATTTGTTTTCCAATGGTATAGTGTACTTATACCATAAACAATTCTGAACTAATTCTT